GCAGAAATGTGGCCCCCAGATTCAGCCTACGTCAATTCCCAGCAGCTGCTGACTCAGTTGCCCAAACCCATTTTTGGACCCCATCGCTGTTTCAGCGGTTCATCCATGTCCTCTCATGGCCAATTGGTCAACCCGAAGTAGGCCAATCTGGCATTTGTTGGTAAGCTGCGGGCAATGCTATGCAACCTTTTGCTTCCAGGTGTCCTTCCTGGTTGTACTTTGACCTTTCACTCTTCACTGTTGGGAAGCTGATTGTTTCCCTTTGCTTTTGGGGGTCAACTACCGTAGGTAGGTCCACCAGTAGTGCCCTTTTACATTTTTTTGGGGGGGGAAGGTTCCCCCAACAAATAGACTACAAAGCAAAGTTGGTACCCTTATTGTAACCTCTCTACTGGAGGGTCAAAGGCCCACCCGGGCCAAAATCTCGCGCGCAAGGAGAGGGTACCATCTCCCTGTCGGAGCTAAAGCAGGCCATTCGCGGTGAGGAGGAGCGACCAAAGCCGGCATTTCGACCTTTTGGCTTTCGGAAGTGAGTTCACGGACTTGAAGCTTCTTGGGAAGACGATTTGAGTGCTGCCATTCCTCACGTCCTGAGTTCATGGACTTGGGGGCCACGATTTTAGTGGTGCACAACAAGTTTAGACTTTTCCTGGCCAATCCACTCAGCGATAGACAAAAGCCCAGCTTGGGACCTTGTGGCTTTTGCATGTTCCTTTCCGAGTCAAGATCCCAAGGAAAAAAGTCACCTGTCAGACCAATGCAGACTCCTTCGGGCAAGTGGGTGTATGCAATGGGGCTCCACCCACGCTTTTGCCTGTTGGGGATGGGGAGCCCAGCACTGGATGTTCGCGGCGCAAAGGGGCCATATGGGATCCACTTGCTACATTTTGAACGGGCTCCTGAGGCGTAAAGTGAGCCCACTATGGTGTACATCATGTGCTTGGGGATTTCAGGTTTTGGACGTTGCTTTCTTTTTTTTACCATTTGTTTAAAGCGGGGTGCTTAAACTCAAAGCACTCTCAAAGCCAGGCTTTAGGGCCCCGAACTATTTCCGCTTGTATGATTCGAGTTCACCTTTTCAGGTCAAGTGCGTCTCCTTTTGGAAACCCCCAACATGCGATCATTCCTTGAAGCGGGCGTTTCTTCCTTGGGGACGGTTCAATCCTGAGCAGGTTGCTCCAAATGAGGCTTGACTGAAACCAACAAACAGTTTGGACTTTCTTTGGCTAATCCACTCAGGAAGTGAGTTTTGGGGAATCAGAGGGATTGGACCCTATGTGGGCAAACAACTGGCAAGCTTGCTGATTCGGGGCAAAACGAGCTCCCCATGGTGAAGGCTCCTCAGGGGAATCCTGATTGCCGGTGTGTGAAGTATTCTGACTTCCGACTAAGCTATACATACCAACTCGTGTTGACCCAATTGGCGTTAAACCACGGGTTAAACATGGGGATCATGCTGAAGCCGGGTCTTCATATTAAGCCATGGGTTAGCCCATGTTCGAGACTCGAAGTGGTTCAGAAGTCGTGCTGGAGCTGTTGGGCAAACTCATGGCCCGACCCCTTCCAATGTTAACCCCGGATGAAGAAAGCCCTGGCTGATTTTGATTGGGGGGGTCCCCTTTTAGTGGGGATTCAGACCACTTTTGGAGGGAACACCCCCTAGTAATGGGACGGGTTTATGAATCCTGGGTCAACATTACCCTCCTAACCATGAATAAAACCCATGTTCCAGACACAAAGTGGCTCAGAAGGTTTTTTGCAGCCACTTGTTGGGCAAAATCATGGCCCGCCCCTACCCTCGGCTCCTTGCCAGGAGCCCGTCAGCGAGGCCAGTGGCAACTCCCCCAAGTCCCCCAAGACCCCGGCGGCGCGCCTGAGACGCGCCAAGTCCGAGGTCATCGGCAGCACCTCGGAGCTCAAGATGGGGAGGCTGTCAACAGGAAGCCCAAAATGGATTCGGTGTTCCTTTTCTTGGTGGCTCCCAGCCATCCGGTTCCTTAGCTTTTTAGCCCTTTTGGTGTCTAGTGGTATTTTCCATTTAACCCACTAAAAGTTGAACCTTTAGCAGGGGATCTGAGGGCAGCCAAGTTGTGGCGTGCCTTCAAAACCACACAAGGGCCAACATGGAAAGTTCGTGGTAGGTTGGGTCTGTCAGTTTTTGAGACTCTGTTTTGGGTTGCTTTCGAAAGGAATCCAAAGAACACCACTCTGTTTTGTGTGTGCGTGTTGTCTTGTGGGTGTGTGTTTGTTGCTGTAATTCATTCTCAAGTTATGTTTTGTGAGTTTTCTGTGTTGCGCGCTATTTTCAACAGAGAGACGCTGGTGTGGTGTGCATTTGTGGTGTGCGCGCATGTGTGTGTGTGTGTGTGTCTGTTGTTAGCTTGCTGTTTGTTTTGTCATTTGTGATTTGTCTTGGTGTTTGTTGAGTGTCAATGTGTGTTTGTGTGTTCCCTTGGCGTTCCCTCTTTCGTTGGCTGGCATGTGTGTATGTGTTCCTCATTCTTCGCGCTGCTTTTCTTTGAGTTCGGGTGTTCCATCTCCTTCGTAGCCGAGTTGTTTCTGCAAATGCCCACCTCACAACGAAGCAGCAGCAAGGAGGCGCCGTTGTTGGATTCAACGTTTTGGAGTAGTTGGACCACGGCGTATGGGTCACACCCCAATGTTGCTCGGCGGTGACACAACAGCACGCACATGGCGCTGTATTTTGCCCATTTGGCAAGCACACCCGCTCACGCGCAGCCTCAGCTCACGCGCAGCATGTTCGCACTGCGCACACGCCTGCCAAATGGTAAGCACACCCGCTCACGCGCAGCCTCCGCTCACGCGCAGCATGTTCGCACTGCGCACACGCCTGCCAAATGGTAAGCACACCCGCTCTCGCGCAGCCTCCGCTCACGCGCAGCATGTTCGCACTGCACACGCGCCTGCCAAATGGTAAGCACACCGGCGCATGCGCAGCCTCCGCTCAGGCGCAGCCTCCGCTCACGCGCAGCATGTTCGCACTGCACACGCGCCTGCCAAATGGTAAGCACACCGGCGCATGCGCAGCCTCCGCTCAGGCGCAGCATGCTTGCACTGCGCACGGGCCTGCCAAATGGTATGCACAACCGCTCACGCGCAGCCTCCGCTCACGCGCAGCATGCTCAAACGCCTGCCAAACGATATGCCAACCCGCTCACGCGTAGCCTCAGCCCTGAGCCCCAAATCGCTCAAATCAAAGAGGCTTGCTCCAGGTCTCTGGTCGTGAAGTTCAGTCAACTTAGGCTTGACCCAGGTCAGGCCAAAGATGCGCGGCGGTCTACCGAAAGGGCTACTTGAAGGCTCCCAAAAGGTAAGCAGGTAGTCTTTTTTGCAAAAGTAGTTTTACTGGAGCCAAACGCGCAGTTCAACCTGCAAATGCCAATGCGAGCTTCCTTCCCCACTGTAACTGCCGCGAAACAATGTCGTTGAAGCATGTTGAGAAACCACGTTATTTACAGGCAAAAAAGGCGTGTTTTGTCCCACGGCGGAATGTGTGCCGTGGACCTAGTTGCCCTGTTGCTTTTTGATGGCTGCCTTTCACGTTGAGTTTGAGCTCCCTTCAACCTTGCCAGCCAGAAAGAGCGTGGGGAATCCTTTCATGGCTGCTGGCTTTGGATGACCCAGGTCCCAGCTAAACATCACCATGCAACAAACAAGGGCTGCGCCCTCATGCTGAGCCGCCCAGCCTATCAGACAAGTCTTGCACTGAAGCCTGAGGAGTGGCGGCAAAGGCACCTGGCAGAGGACATATCATGGTTGTTGTTGGGAAACATTTTACATTTTTGCTTATTGTGGTTTAGTGGGAAATCCCGACTTAACAGCTAAAATTTAAATTTTGCCCCTCTTCCAACGTCAAACAAGATGTCTTACAAACACACAAGCAAACAAACGAAAGAACAAACAGACAAGCAAGAGCAAGCCAAGAAAGGAACCGTGCAAAACAAGCAGCACAAGCAAACAAACAAACGCACATAGCACACCAACCTACACCAAATGAACCCCAAATCCAGCCAAACTAAACCAAAAGGCCTCCCAAAGATAGCATCGCCTTGAGGCCTCTTCGAGGTTCTAGACGCCAACGGTGACGAGCAAGTCTACTACTCGGACTTCTTGGCCGTCGCGCGGCGGCGTTTTAAGCCGGCCGTTCCGGGGGGGCGGGACCCGTTGGGCGGTGAGAGTTTCCACGTGGTAGTTTTTGGGTGTCTTTTGGGTACCACGTTTTGTTGGGTGAGAGTTTTCCACATTTTTTTTTCCGGAATTGGGTGTGTCTTCTTTTGAGGGTACCCTCTTGTGGTTGTTTGAAAAGGAAGCCAAAGGGAACATGGGGTATGCCGGGTATGCTTTAAAATGTATGAGGGACCCCCCCTAAACTCAAAAAACATTCCAAATACAACATTGCAACATACAACAAACACAACAGAATACAACAAGAGACACGGAACGACTCACCTTGTATTTAGGTTCTTGGTGGCCAATGCGCAGGTTTATACCCTGTTTGTCACCAATCAATTCGGCGGCCGGATAGGGTGAAGGCGGAGAAGTGAAGGCGGCTTCTCTGCCTTCCAACGCCGACCGACCAGCCAAAGGCCGACCATGTCCTTGCAGAACACATTTGGATGTTTCGGCTACGCGGCGCCCTTCGAAGCACCAGGCCACCATGGACGTCCGCAAGCAGATCCGGCAGGAGGCGGTTTTGTCAGCCTTCAACCGCCTGGATGCGGATGGGTCCGGGTCCATCAGCGCAGAGGACGGGGGTCCATCAGCACTCTGTTCGTGGTCCACGCAGCGTGCCATTTTTCGTGGAAGAGGGGGTACTGGGGTACTATAAGGCAAAACAAGTACTCATATGTACTCATGTTTTACCCTCAAACAAGATACTCATGGTTTACACGAGGGCTCGCTGATTGAGTGGCATAGTCCGCATGGTTTGCCACTATCATGACTATGGATCGTTTTAAGTACCATTCAAGCTTTTGTATTACCCTTTCCGGGGCAGAGAGAGGCCACAAAGAAAGCCACATTTTCGGGGATCCCCTATTTTAAGACACTCTTTTCAGGCTACCAATGGAACCGAACCCAGAGAGCCACTCTTGGGTTGCATGCTAGTTTGTGGGGTATGGTCCATTTGGGAGAGACAAGCGGGACAAGCTCTGAATGTCCTGCAAAACCCAGAGGCCTTGCGAGACTCACCAAATGTCCAGTAGGGGGAACAAGTAATTTAGTTTTGACCGTAGCGATGTGCTTTTCAGCATCTGAAAGATAAACTCAAATTTCGGAGGCAACCAGTTTGGGCTTTTGGCCAATACACTCGTTCGGAAGTGAGTTAGGCATCACCTGTCCAACAGAAAACTTCATCCGGAAACATGTCCCGCATGGTGGTAATGCACCCACAAACGAGGAATGTATCGAGCCGTGAGTAATATGTACGTATATGAGCATATAAATGATATATATATATATATATGTATATAAATAAAACCGTCATACGTTCTACTTCTCATGAAAACAAAACGGTAGCGCAACCCGGGAAGCCTAAATCCTTGGACCACCCATAGGCAACAGACTGCATCACTTTCAAACTGCATCCTATGAGCCCTTGTCATGCATATACCTTGCATCGCATGGGATGTGCATGGTTTCCGGTGCAGGGCTGCGCTCAAAAACGGAAAAAAAAACAACACGTGCGGTCACGACCCCGAGGACCTGAGAAAAGTGATCGGGGAGACCTTCGAAGGCGTGAACGTGGAGCTTCTTGTGCGGGAAGCTGACGCGGCTTGCAAAGGACCCCGAGCCGTGTGCGTTGATAAAAGGGCCAAAGGGTTGGATGCGCAAGCGACTCAAAGCACACCAAGCTCTTGCTCAGTTTTCTTTGGCCATTGGCCCCAACTAGTCAAAGGAGGTCCTCCTCCGGCGTGATTTCTCTGTTTTCCCGTTGCTGGAATATGTCCAGGAGATCCTCTGACAACTATAGGAGATTCATGTTGCAATTGCATGAATGGAAGATTCTTGGATGTGCAACCGACTCAAAGGACACCAAGGCACTTCGTTCAGCTTCCTTTTTGTCTTGCCGTTCGCTGTGGCGCAGAGTCCCACGCAAAGAACAGGATGGGTGTAAGCCTTTAGGCTCACCAGCCCTCTGACTGGGTGCCAAGTAGCCCACAATTAGTTGTTGCTTTCTTAGAAGGAAACCCAACATGGGATGGGTGATGTCATTTTTCCAGACACCCCTATTTAGCACCCAGTGTCAGGCTCGCCCTCTGGGTTCTTGGACTCTTGCCATCAACAAAAACATGCACTTTAGACTTGTCTGACCAATCCTGAAAAGGATGATGCAAACCACAAGGGTACCTTTTCACCCACTCTACTCCCCTGACGATGGAACACCGCGAAAAGGTGTCCCAAAGCAGTTATACACATGAGGGGTTTTGGGGCTCCATATTGATTTTAATTTGCAGGGTGTTGCCAAGTTTAGGGAACAACCGCATCTGCTTTCCTTCTGTTTTTTCCCCTGGCAAGTTTCTACTCCTCTTGTGCCAAAAAAGTGCAGATGAATCCGGTCGGGAGAATCGCAATGTGTTCTCCCGCCCTGCCAGAAGTAATCCGACCCCCCCTCTGAATTGGCACTCAAGCCTCCCCTGTTTGACCAGTGGTTTGTGATTCAAGCTGATCTGCCGCGACCTTTTGATTTGTATAGGACCCTATAGATCCCCCCCAAGAACACTGGAAACAAGAATGAAGATCAACTCCCCCAACCCCCCCTCCATCCCCCCCCCAAAAAAAAGGGAAACCAACAAAGAAACAGAACAACACACAACACAAAACAACATCAAGAAAGATCAACTCCCCCACCCACCCCCTCCCCCTCCCCACAAAAAAAAATAAAGAAAGATACAGGAAGCGCGAAGGCGGCGATTTCCATGTGTTCCCTTTTCGCTCCTGGGAAAGCCGGCCAGAGACCCTCGCTTCGCGCAGGAGAGCTCACCTTCCAGGACTTCCTGGGGCTGCTGGAGGCCACCGATGCCTCGGTGTCCCCCAAGGCCCGGCAAAGAGCGTCTCGGCGACGCAACCGGCGCGGGATCGAGCGGCGCGCGGGATCGAGCCAGGCGGCGGATTTTTGTTGGTTTTTGGTGTCGGACGGGTGGGAGGAGAAGCCCAACTTGAAAGCCTCAGAACACCTTGGGTGGAAGAATAAGCTCAGGTGACATCCCCAACAGCATGCGGTGCTCTTTTTAGTGTTCGCACCACCCCGCAGCCCTCGCAAAACCTCGTGGATCCCTGGTGGAACGCTCGTGGAACCTTGCCTCAGGGCCGCTCCGGACCACCCCGGAGCCTATCTGGGCTAAGACCCCAAAGCTTTCAGCTGTTGGGGAAACAGAAGGGAATCGGAACTGCTGGTGGATGTTTGGGGGGAAGGTCTCAGAGGGGAACGCCTGTTTTTTTCTTTTTGTGGGGGGGGGGGGGGACGGGGCTCATTTTGGATGGCTCCGCTGGCCCACCACTACGTCTTCGTTCCAACTATTGGCTTCCAACGCACCAATATGGGTTCGTCTCAAAGGGAAGTCCCAGAGTGTCAGGATAAGCCAAAATTGTTTGTTCTTTTGGATATGCTGACTGCACCTATTGGTCGGATACGGAAACTGATTGTTATTCACTGCGTTCAGGATACCCCATTGGTAGGATTTGGGCCCCTGGTGGGTAAATGGGATTTGCTTCCCACCGAAACACCTGGCCGTGTGGTTTGTTTCCCAATAGCCACGGGACATTTGCTGGCAGGATTGGACGGCCATGGTCAGAGGAAATTCCAAGCGAGCCACATGATGCCCCCTTGAAAATGGAGACTAGCATAGACCAGCCCTGATCAGCATGGGCCTATGCGGCGTGAACCTGGGATTGCTTGTTTGGTTTGTTTTGTTTCTTGATCTTGCGCTTGGTTGTGATCGCCCTTTTGTGGGGAATAGCATCATATATCATCGACTTGTGTCCTTCGCAGTTTTCAATTAGCCAGCAGGCTAACCAGGGACGTTCGTTTTGGTGCCGTCTGCGGATTTCTCAGAGGTTGGGTTGAGCCGAAATTGGCTTTGGCACCCGTGGGCTCTTGCTTTCCAGCCCAGTCGCGATCCAGTCGCTAATTACCCAGGCTATCCAACCACGCTTTACTCTTTGTTTTGCGGGTAGCCGCAGTTCCTGGGTAGTGGCTCCGGGGTCGTGAAACCACCTCAGGTGCATTGTAGACGTCGTTTTAGCCTATTTCTTAGTGTTGTGTGTTGTGTGTTCCTTTCTGTCTGTGTGTGTTGTCGCGCTCGGGGTGTTTCTGGTATCTTGTCGTGCCGCTTGTTGCTTTCGCACTTGCATTTCTCGGGTTTGTTTATTCGCTGTCCTGTGATTTCGCACGTTTCCGCTTGTTTCTAGGGCGAGTTTCCATTAGGTGGGGTGATGCCTAGGGAGCCTACTGAAAGCCCGCCCGCCGGAGAACTAAACGCAACGACTCCAGCTGCTGAGGCCTCCGTGTCGCCATGCCTGGTAGGACTTCTCAGTTCCATTGTAGTGGTACACAAGAAGAATAGACTTTTTTTGGCCGACCTTTTTTTTTGCCAATCCGCTCAAGAAGTGAGACTTGTTGACTCCCAAGCCTTCGGGGCTCTTTGGAGCAGTCCCTTGTCAAGCTGAGGACCCAATGAGCTAAGGACCTAGAGCTACATGCGTGTGGGCTTCCATTTTTTGGAGGGACGGGGGATATGGGGGGGATCCCGCGGTTGGGGGCTTCGTTGTTTTTTTAGAGCCATTGCCCTCTAATTCCAGTAAAAAAGAAACGAAAGAAACTGCTTCATAAATATTTTTTTGGATTTTGGCCTTATGTGCCCAAAAACGGCTTGTTTGTCCTAAGGCTGAACCCCTGACTGTTGGGCATGCTGCGCGAAGCACGGAGTGAACCTTCAAACGTTGGCGTGTCTTGCAGAGGTTCAGGCCAGGCTTTCTCCTGCGCCCGAGGCTGGCATTCAGCCCTCTTTCTACCTACAGCCGCACGTGGTGCCCTGAGAGCTCCGCAAGCGACGCGCATGCGCGGCGCGTGGCGGCGCAAGACTGCCGAGACGCGATGCGCATGTGTTGTCAACTGAGCAGCGCCCAAAACCCCGCAAGGGCCGTTTTAGCAGGTGGTGCTATGCCGCGGTTTGAAGGGTTGTACTAAAGCCCCTTAAAAACATTTACAACCATGTTAGTAGAACCAAACGTCAGATGCTTTTGGGCGCTGCTCCACTTGGTGCCATGATGGCAAATGAGTTGCCTGAGTTCCCCCCCCCCCCCCAGAAACTCAGCTCTTTGACAACCGACTCCGGTGGGCCGAGTAGGTTCGGGCAGGCTGCTTCTTTTGGCTTTTCATAGGCTTTGGGTAAAGACCTTTTGATTGTGACTGCCGGCGAAAATCGGCCCAGGCCGAGAAGCTGCATGCTTTTCGGAAATCATGTGCCCCAATATAGCCCATGGTATGCCGGCATCCCAGAGGTTGGCATCACACTCTGAGGGGGATATTTTGAACCACGGAACCAGGCACGCGTAGAAGTCATCTTGAGGCTACAGTATCAGGTGTGGATGATTGTGGATGTTTTCTAGTGGGGGGCAACTCAAGGTGGAGCATCGGCAAGTAGCTTGCCAAATTGCTGGCCTTTTTGACCCGTACATTCCCCCATCCTGTCCAGTGTTTCTTCCGATTGGAAATTCAATTTCCAGGGAAGCTGGCTTGAAGGGAACAATGGGCAAATGTTCGAAATCAACGCTTTGAGGTTTCTCCATGCAACTTTACCGTGCTGCCAGCCTTACTTCCTGAGTCCGTTCGGACTTTAGGCACTTGTTGGGCTTGGACCATTCTAGTGGTAAACAAAAAGCCTGGCCATTTTTGCCAATCCACTCACAAAGTGAGTGTCTGCACGAACGTATCCCTGAGCAATGGCAAACACAAATGCAGAGTCTTGTTCAGAGTTGGACCTGTTCCATTTCAGCCATGGGGGAATGCTGGAGCAATCTTGATTCGGGGCTTAGGCGGGGAAAAGCCAGCTGGCGAAGGTCATTTTGCCTGTGCGGTTTCTGCATTCCGGCCAAACGCATGTCCGGGACCCGGAAGACCTTCTCTTAGCCGTGCCCGTGCAGCTTGGCGGCCTCTTTTTGACGCAGGAAGCCGCGCCTCTATATGAAGCACTACTCCCCCCCCTAGAGGCCCCAATAGGAATTGGATAAGGGAAACGGCCAGCCGTTTTCCCTCGGACCAAGGGAGTCTGATCGTTTGCAACGGGCATTTGTTTCAATTTCATGCAGGTGGGTCTGTTCTGTAGTTTTGTGGATCATGGATTGGGATTGGCCACTTGGGTTTAGTTGTAGTGGTGGTTTAGGGTTGGTCTGGATGGGAGTGGCGTCCCATCTCCCTCAAACCAAGGGTGGCAGACACTTTGTTCAATCCTCGGGTCCCGCGCGAAAAGGTCCCGGCCTTCTATCGAGGGAATGGTCAGGTACCATCCGGGTACCTGGACTCGGGACAAAAAAGGGTAGGCCTCTGAATAGGGTTGCTCCTGCCGTGATCAAAGCTTGCCAAACTTGGATCTTGGTACCACAGAAAATCTGCTTCTACCCAGATGAGTTGTCGTTTTTGGGGGATCCCTTTTTGGTTGGTGTTAAAAGGAAACCAAGAGACAACCATAGAACCACCATTGTTGGCGGCCCATTTGAGTCACTCTTGCGTCCAAAGACCATTTGAGAGGCACACTTTCAACTGCAGGTTGAGCAACCCTCGGCCTTTCCTATTGCCCGTTCCGAGACCCGGACACCCGTTCCGAAGGATTGGAACAGCCAGTTGAAATTCTGGGTGCCCCAGAGCATGTCTTTTGCTGGGAAGTCACCACCCTGTGATGGAGCAGCTGTTGAAGGGGAAATCCAGTGATGCCCCCTCTGAATCCGAGGCCGGTGCCTGACAATTTCCGGATGCGAAGGGCTTTCACCAAATTCGTCCTGGGACGGCCGAGTGGAACTTCACTTGCGATTTCTCGCGCGGAGGTTTAAAAGGCTCGGCATTGCTGCATGCTCGGCGACGAGTTGGAAGCGGATCCTGCGTACCCCCCAAGGCTTCAGGCTGAACCTCAGGGCCAAAGAAGGCTGGCCAAATACCAGGATCCTTGACGGTTGGCCGACCACTTGCAGGGTGTGGCAAATTACAGCCAGCTCACCGATCAGAGGCAATTCACTCGGGAGCTTGTGCCGTTCTGTTCTAGAGAGGGTTCCTGCATTGTTGAAGGAGCAACGCTCCCTTGATCATATTTAAAGGTTTGTGACTCCGGGCTTTGCATGATGTGCATGCTTTTCTCTTGGGCAGTGGTTTAACAAAGAGATGCGTGGAGGTGTATACACTTTGTTGCACGACTTTTGGAAGATGTATGCTCATCCAGAAAAGTACTCCGTGAGCTCCTTGGAGTAAATTGTTTGGGCAGAGCCTCAGTTTTCTAGGGTTGGTTCCCCATTCTTTTCAACCATCGTTCTTTTCAAAAACCCTTTTTTGTTTTTTTGATTGTTTCCTGAAAAGAATCGGATCCCTGGAAAGACTGGAAATGGAAGGTACCCCAAGAAGTTTGAGCAAACACCACATGCAGGCGGCAGAAAGACCTGGTTCGGTGGAGGCGGCGGAGAGAGCAGCACCCAGGACGCAGATTTCCACATTCGGGTGTGTCTTTCTTTAGGGGACCAGTCCCCTCCACGCGAAAATTGTGGTTCTCCCATTGGTCTTGTTTTGAAGCCACTTGAAAAGGGGAGTACCTCAAAAACTGCACCCCAGAATTGGAGTTTGTTTTGTGTGTTTCATTTGCAATGCTGCGGATTGCATGCCTGGGTTTCCCTTTGGTGGTGATGTTTACAGGTTGGACATGTAGGGCAGCTCAGGTCCCCAACTGTTGTGATTGTTTCGTCGCGTTTTTTGTTGCCAATCCAGTCATTCGAAGTGAGGAAGCCCCCGTTATCTCAGCGCTACGAAGCTTGGAATGCTGTTGTGTTGTGTGTGTGGGTGTGTGGGTGTTTTGTTTTCCTTTGAAGCCTGGCCCCCAAAGGTGCCAATAAAAGTACACATGAAAAAAAAGAAGAACACAAAAACGCACACTCTTCATGTTGTCTGTGGGGTCTTTGTGGCATTTTGGGGCCCTGACTGGGGTCAGCTTTTGGAGGGTTGCAAGGGACAACCAAGGAATCAAGTTGGCAAAGCCCTGTTTTTGAGAAGAACTCACCGGGGCTCCAGCCACCCTCGAGGAGTCTGCGATGGAAGAGGGCCGGAAAAAGCCCACAGGCCGCTCGCAAAGCACTTTAGTCATTAGGAAAAGCGCACCTCAAATCAACGGGCCAAGAAAAGTGAACAGCAACTGTTTCTGATATCTGAGCTCGATTGCATTTGCAGTAGGCATTTATGGAATATGGATGTGAGAGCCAGCTGACCACTTATGACTGAATTTTGGCAATGGCATCATTACAGGAGCTGTAGTCCCCGGCCAAAAGTTCCAGGCACAAGGATGTCCTGTTCGTGGCTTTTTGTCGGCTAATTGGTTGGCGTGAAACGTTTCCTTGGGCCCGCGGCAATGTGAACGCAAAGGGCGGTCAGACAATAGCCCTCATACAGCTCGCATTTTCGTGTTGTTGGCTACCAGCCGTAAGCACAAGAAGCAACACACACCATCAGCTTTCCCGGGGACTGGCGCTCTGCCACCAGGGCAACAGTAGCTTCCTTGGGTTTCAGTGGCTGACGCTATCATCTTGAGGTCTCTCTGGGCATCGGATAAAGTGCAGCACCGGAGTGATGCGGCTATTGGCCTGAGTTGAGAATACTGAAGCCATGCTCAGGCAAGAACAAACTATTGATCCGTGACACAGGATTCCTTTTTGCCCCCTCTTGTGGGGGCCCTTTTTGGGAAGGCCTATGAGTAGCAGGAGGGTCTTCGGGTTTTCCAATTACGCCTTGTCATTGCCCCGAAGAACTTTCTGGTCCGTCCAGGGAACCAGGACCGAGCCTTTCATGTCGCCACATTGCAAAGAAGGGAGCCAGGAACCCCCGAATTTATTGTAATGTCCCATGGTTTTGTGGCCCTCAGCCAGTAAAGCCAAGTGGAGCCCCATTTCCCGTTTCATTCCCCCCTCGAAACGCAGCGAAGCCGAATCGAGCGAGGCCTGCAGGCCAACAAAGTGCCAACCACCTTCCCCGAGCCTTGGTGATCCCACTTGAGCCACGAGCTGAAAACCGATTCGGGTAGATGAAGGTGAAGGGATAGTCATTCCCATCCATATTTTTTTGTGCCTTCGCCACCTGTTTAACTCCTTGCATGGTTCTGGGTAGGCCATGCTTAATACCAGGTTTGATTATGACTCGCTTGTTCAGCGGCACCTTCTGAATCCCTTTGTAAATGTGTGTGTGTGTGTGTGCGTTTCCTTTGCTTCTTTTTATGGAGGTGAAAGCACTTATTTGGGTCGGATCTTTTTTGTTGTTGCGTCCCAACGAATGGGACGCCGCCTATGTGCTTTTGCTTTTTGTTGGGGGGTGGGGGGGGGAGGGGGCTGGCTCGACCTGGGTCAGCCTGGGAGCTGTAGCCACGGCCAAAGGGTCTTCTTGGATTTGAGCCCCGAATTCTTGCGGAAAATGGGAACTCCCAAGCACCAACCCAAACCACCAAGAGGGAAGCTGACAAAAGATGTTGATAGGCTCTCAATTTGGAAAAACTATAGGGGATTGGTTTCTCCTGCGCTACTTGTAAGGGAATCTGAAAAGGATCTTAGTTTGAGATTCGACCCAGGTTCACTTGGATTGCCCAAGCCTGGAAGGCGAAAGCGGCTCTCCGCCTTTCTGGGGGGCCGCAGTTAAAAGGCGCAACACGTGAACTTCTTTCAGCCACATGATTTATGGAACCATGTTCCGAGGACAGGGAGGTGTTCACAATGTGTGTGTCCTACCTGCCAGATGTAACATGTTGCCAAAGTTTCGCAATCGAAGCGCAAAGAAGATGGGTAATTGTTCTTTTCCCAGATCGCAAACACCCCGTGCCGCCTAAACTGGCAGTGTTATCAGGTACCCCTGGAGTTCACTTGGCTTTCATTGCCACCCTCAGTCAGGAAGCAAAACAAACAACCGCCACAAAGCAGTGATTTCGCCCTTCCCGCAAGCTCCATGCAGAACGGTGGCCACTTTGTACTTTGTGGGAAGATCATTTTGGTGGTAACTCCAAAGTTTAGATACTTTTCTTATGCCATCCGCTTCGGAAGGGAGGTCAAGCAAGGACCTCGGAACAAGCTCGCTCCCGGTGGGCCAAGGAGATGTTCCAGTTCAATGCCACCGTCATGGGCTACGGCCACAGCGACTGGATGCTGATCATCCTGCAGGTCTTCGGGCCGATGGTGGTGAACGCGGCCAACCCCACCCGCCTCATCGAGGACAGAAAAACCACGGGGTCAGGTTCACTGGGAGGTGCGGAGAAGCGAGCGGCAGGAGCCCAGCGTTTTTGGTGCTTGGATGGGTAACTGTCCAGCAGGGTTTCTCCATTTCCCATATTTCCCTTTTTTGGAACCAGCAAATTGCTACTTTTGACGGGACCCATGTGCACAGCCTTACTACCAGCATTTGTGTTCAACTTAGATTTCCGATTGAACTGGTTGATTTTGACTTGGGCGTGGGCCATGCACTCACCGCCCCACTTTCTGGCTAACATTTATGCTTATCATGACTTAACTTGGCTTAAAATTACCCTGCAACCATATTTTAGCTACTCAAGCCCCTAGCTATGACAGTAAAGCCCTTGCGGCTATCCGAAGCTTCCACTCTAAGTAATCCTGCGAGGGTGCGGCATTTGGTCGCCTGCAGCTATGTACCGCCTGCGTTCGGGCGACTTTGCGGACTCCCCTTCTGCAGCGTCGTTCTGATTGGCTTGACGTACGGCCAGGGGCTGCAAGCACAAACCACCACCCTAGACAGTGCAGCGCACGCAAAAACCCGGAGAAGAAACAAAAAAAGGAGACTACTGGACCTGGCTCTCCTTTTCGAGCCTCTTTTTGTTGATGTTCTTGCCTTTCAGTTTGCTTCATTTGCGCCAGTTCGGATTCTGCCAAGAGAGGTTCCCCCCAAAAAGCACAGTGTTTAGTGTTCCACCACCTGTCGTGCGAAAACGTTCTGCCATTGGGAAGCCATTCGCGCGTTGGGTGCTTTGAGCTACAGGCTTGATGTGTTTGTTGGAATCGTTCATCCAGTTTACGGTTTCTCATTCTGCATGGCTACGGGTTTTAATAAAGCACCATCTCAGAAGTGGTTAGCGGACAGGAATCCGCTCCGAGCTTTGATGTCCACCAAAGGGTCCCTCATGAGGTTCGGTCAAAATCGCTGGCAGTCTATGATTTCTAGGTGACATGGGGGAACCTGTCAAATTTCCCACAAGATCAAGGGGACTCGGGAACTGTCCCCTGTCTTGGGGGACAAAGAATGCTGCCCGTGGCTCACATGGCAATTATCGACTAGCACTGCTCTAATACAAACTGCAGGATCCTTTGCTTGCTTGCCAGCCGGCTTCTCACCCTTGGGCTGTATGGCTTTTGACCCAGATGTGTCAAAGGGAGGCCCCCAAAATGGTGCTTGTCCTTTTGGTTTCCCTTTGCACCGTGAAAAGCTCCCCCCCCCAAAAAAAAAAAGAAGAAGAAGAAACAAACAGGAAGAAAAGAACAGAAACACCAGACACACACACACACACCCATTTGCAGTGGCTTCAGAAGTTGAAGTTGAAGCCTTGCTTTTCAGGCATTAAGCCCATGTTTCCCCAATTGCCGGCTTCCGCCACTACGGCCAACCGGCCAGGGCTGAGCGGTTGCAAGCGCGTTGGGGTGGATCGTCTTTCCCCAAAGGTGGATTTCTGGTGCAACCCGGGGCGGGAATTGCCAGAGATAGAGAGAGAGAGAGAGAACGAGCGAGAGATATCGGGCGTTCCGTGAGGAAGCGGACGTGTTGTCTGTGCAGCTTAGCAAGGCGGGCCCTTTTACAGATTTGTAACCTGCGATCGTGTTGTCGTGGTTTGCAAGATTGTACATTGTGTTTTATTTGTTGTTTCTATTTATTGTTTAAAGGTTAGGGGCATCCGGAGCCACAATGAAAAGCTGGGTAAGCGAAGGTTTGGGGCCTTGCGGAATTCCGATGTCGCAAGCCTTGGGCCATTGAGCTGGACCCCCTCCCCGCAAGGACTAAGGCGACCAAGGCCTTTTCGCCCTTAGAATGAACCTAGATAGTCACTGTTGCTCTTCTTCTCCTTTTTTTTTGGGGGGGGAGGGGGGGGTAAAGTGGATGGAACAAAGCAGCAACTGGCGATCCAGGAAGCATGTTTTGGTTCTTGCCTTCTGGTCAGCTGCCGACATCCCGCAGATGAGCCTGGTGTATTTGGGATCGGCTTTCCATGGACCGAAGAGACACCTTCCCAAGTTGTGGCCAGTAGCTGGCCTCAGGTTCGTACCGGTACAGTGGTTTTTCATCGGCTGGACCGTCATTTTCGGTCCAGGCTTTGCATCCCCCACCGTTTTTGTTTTTCTTTTTTGTCTATATCTTTCAGTTGATGGGCAACTCTTCACTCCTTGAGAGTTCGCAAAAGGAATCACAGTCCACCTTGCTTTCCCGTGTTCTGAGGCACCCTTTTTGCCTTTTTGTTGGGTGGTTTCCCTACCTTCTTGGATCAACCAAAAAAGGTGTCCGATTCTGATTCGCATTCGACCTTGCGGGTCGCTGTGTTTGTTGAGGTTTTTTCTCGCGTTTTTTGCATCGCGTTTTTTCCTCCTCATCCGGCCAGGTGACGGTGAAGATCGAGTTGGTGGAGTTCAAGGCTGTGATGTTGGCCTCCCTCCGCTCCCTGCTGCCCAAGACCTGGAGCTCCGAGTGCGAGGCCGGCTCGGCCCGCGGACCAGCGGGACCCGGCGGCGAACGAGACCCGGGGGGAGGCGGCCATTGAGATGTGGGGCTCAGTTTTGTCAGAGGTTGCTCCCCGTTTTTTTGTGGCTTTTTTTTGGGGGGGTCCCCTTTGCTGTCCACTAACCAGGCAAAAAAGAAACAGATCGTTTCTTGCTGGGGTTCGAGTTCCAGCCAAGTTTTGTTGATGCCAAATAGAAAGGGGGCAGAAAATTTCAGCCCCGGCGATTCCATTTAACCCATATCTTGTGGTTCCCAGCTGGCCGGTTCCTTAGCTGCTTGGGATATCAGTTGGTTAGTGCTAGTGTCCTTTTAAAACCGGCCAAAAGTCAAACTGTTAGCAGGGGTATAGTAGCTAGCCAAGGGACCATCCTTCAAACACCAACAGGAAAACTGAAATGGGATCAGGGTATACTATAGTAGTATTCCCCTGTCACGACAAAGGAAACCCAGAAGGAAACTTTGAGACAAACCAGCCTGAGGGGCATAAAAGCGGGCGAGCCGAAGAGAAACACTGACCCGAGTGCTTGTGGTTTCCCATTTTGGTCTTAAACCACCCCAAAACAGGTGCGTCTAAAAGGGGCAGGAGGTGGTTTTCTTTTATTGGCCTTTCGTTTGTTCAAGGTCAATCCTTAATCCTTATGTCAGGTGGTAGTGATTCCCTGTGTTTTCTCACCCTGTAAGTTCCTGGACTTTGGCCACTGTTGGGGGGAATAACGTTAGTGGCAAACCACTCACAAAGTGTGATTACAATACAAGTTGTCACAGTTGACAGCGAAACAAACAAGTTGATTGTTTTGTTAACCCAGGTCCCCACAAAGTCAACTTTTTCCAGCTGGCCCGCTCATTTGGTTTAGTCTATGGAGGGTATTTGGGTATGTGTCAAGATAGGGGGAACCAACAAATGTGGTTTCACTGTTGGTTTCCCTTCAAACCAAGTTGGCAAGGATGCCGAGCCTCAAAAAGCACAGAGCTACTCTCAACCCCAAAGCCATGGCACATTAAGTAAACTAGAGGGTTTTCATGTGGGATGGGTCAAAACTAAGCCACAGAGGACCGCATATTTTTTGGTACATGTTTCCATTCACCAAGGCTTGCGCCATTTTGGGTACTCCCGTTTTGACCCACGGCCATGTCGCCCTTGCAATACGGTGGATGGTCCTGCACCACCTAAGAAGCCCTGGAATGATTATTCCCCTGCAAATGCCAGCAAACAATGGCTTGGCATGGATTCAAAGTTGCGCGAAATGGATTTCGGCCATCCACAATTTTCGGCCATCCACTAAAATGGGTGGTGAATTCACCTACCCCAAACTGGGATCCCAAAACGGTTTTGACCACCACGTCGCATCAAGTCGCCCTTGAGTCGGCGAAATTGTTCCAGGTCGCTTGGACCTGGCTCTGGGAGAACATCCAGCGCATGCTCAAGGCCAACGCCGGGAAGCCCCAGCTGCAGCAGAAGGCCTTGAGGACACCATTTTTCGCGCATGCCGATTCGCGCATGTCGGGCGGTCGGGTGGAGTTCCGTGAGTGGAAGTCATTTTTTTGTTAAAAAACACTTTTTTTTTAATGTTTCTTCTTGTCTTTTTTCAATATGGCTCAAGGCCAACAAATAATGGGGATACCCGGGATACTCCTCAAACGTGGTTGGACAAAAATCCCAACGGACGCGATGTCCACCAAAGGGTGCCCAATGAACATGTCCACTGATGCCCAATTGAATTTCAGGCACGAATTCGGTACTCGAAAAGCACACCCAGAACTCATTGGTTGAACTCGAAACCGTGGTGCCCAAGTGTGAATAGACGCTTGGTCACGGGTTCTCTTTGGCTTGGTACCTGAAAATATGCCCAAACACCTACCGGATGGATTCACCCGAACGGGATATTCGTGTCACCGGCTCGACCTTGCCTCGCGGCCTTAGGAGAGTCCTTGTTTTGCTCAACATATTTTTTCCCGTATGGTCTCCCACAAAGGCCCCCCAGCTCAGGCGGGATCAATCCCCTTTTTGCACCTCCAAAAGTGGCAGTTTCAGTAGAACCAGTGAACTTCCATGTGGGTCAAAACCTAAGGTGCCAAAAATTTAGGTTACCACTCTGTTGTCTTTGAAGGCTTTCTGGGTGTTTTTTGGTGTACCGGGGTTTTGACCCATTGAACATGAGCCCCAGAAGCCCCTGGCACTTGAGTCTGGTGCTTTATACACCAATTCCCCAAACGAATCTCAAAGCCACAGAAAATGCATGTGAAGCTACGGGCGGTGACACCTTCACGGGTTTGAAGCTGCCGTTTGGTTGCCTGGTGTCTTACAAGCGGCGCGTTTGGGGGATTAAAACTCTTTGCTTCCGCGGAGTCGATCAGGAAGCTCTACGGCTCCTTGACGGAGGAGCAACTGGTGGGCTTCCGAAACGGCATCTACACCACCTTCTTCCAGAAGTGTGCCCAGGGCCAGGAGTTGTCGGCGCGTTTGAGACGCTTTTGTCGCGCCTTTTGTTCTTATTGATCGAGGGGTGGCCTTCCTTTTGAGAACTCAAACCCGGTTTGTTTGGGGGTGACTCCTCGCGACGTTCAAACATTCTTGTTTGGAAAACCTGGCCGTTTCACGAGGGCATCTGGGAAAACAAAGCACACATGAAGGCCCCGAACAGTATTCCCACAGGAAACTGCCGCAACCTGGGTTACCGCTTTCCACAGATAGCAATCCCGAAACACCCAGCGCACAGCTGGTCCCAAATACCTGTATTCATGTGCAGGGGGGGGTTACGAAGAACAGTCAGGTTTTGGCTGGCATACCGAGGTTGGGAACTTTGAACGGTGTTTTGTGAGATATCTTTTTGGGAACTTTGATGCTGGCGCATCTGGAGTAAACCCAGTTCGGCCATGCTAACTTGGCTTCTTTCTCCGAATTATTCCCAGATCCCATCCCCGAAGTTGTCTTTTGGTGCCTTAAGCCGAACCCCGCCGTCTCAGCACTCTGAGAGCCTTTGATTTGGCATGCCTGCGGCGTCCCTTTGCGAGGACTATTTCAAGCAAAGTTCCACAAGGTTGCACTTCATCGCGGATCGGGTCATCATGTTCACCCAGGAGGGAGCGAGAGAGAGAGAGAGCGAGAAAGAGAGCGAGAGAGAGAGCGAGAGAGAGGTCGACGTCTAGCGCGTGTTTCTGTGAGTTGAATGTTACGGGGCGAGAGGTTTCTCTTTCTTTGACCAAGCGAATCAACCTTTCGACGTTTTGGCGTTGGCGAACCTCCGATCCCCAGCCCCTTTGACGTGGGGAGTTTTTGTTGCTGTGGCATGTGTGTGTTGTTCATTTCTTAGTTGCTTGTGGGAGGGAATGAAAGAGAGACCAACCCTCTTCTTGGTTCCCCCATTTGGCAAAGCCAATTCAACGGCCAAATGAGGGATTTCTCCAAACAGACTGCTCGTGTTTCGGGAGCCAGGGTCTTGTTGAAGCTCAGGTCTCCCTGTGTGGATCTTTCCCATGCTTTCTTGAATCATTGCCTTTTAGGCCAACTGAACGTAAGCTGGTCGACGGGAACGGGAACGCCAGTTGGGAGCTGGTTTCCGGGTGGCGTTCCGCGGAATCCAACTCGAAGCGCACAAGCGGGTCGGGGCCGGGAAAAACCTTGGGATGTGCTTTTCCGGTTCCCTTTGTCTACCCAAAACAGGTGGCTTAAGGACATCTTCAATAGATCTTCAAATGCCCAAGGCAAACCAAGGAACCAGATAGCACCCTAGTGATAAGCTTTCTGAGCACCCGCTTGCAGCTGAGTTGTTGAATGGTTCCAGTCAGGACATCCACAGTTCAAAACCCGGGTAGACGATCTCCTGAAGGGCTGCAAAAACGCGCACCCTAGCGCACCATAGCGCAAGATGACCTGGTGGTATGGTAAAGAGAATCAAAGGCGTCGAAGGCCCCCATATGGTTGGGACTATCCCGCATCGATTCCCGAAGAAGAAAAAAACTGTATTTTGCGGCGGGTTTAAGGAGATCCGCAGCCAAAACCCAGAAGGTCATTCCCTATCGCACCAGGAAGTTAGTTATGCTCTAGGAGATCTTCAAAGACCCCCTCCCTGCAAATCAACATGAAACCCCAAAAAGGGGTCCCCCCCAAAAGGGTCCGATTCCTCAAAAGAATTGGGTGAGGGCTCCCTCGCGCGCTCTGGGCTCTGGGCTCACCAGCGCGTTGTGTTCAGCGCGGGGCCCTCCAAACAAATGGGTGAGCGTTTTCCGGTGTGCTTCTCTTAATCTTTGGTCCAAAAAGAAGATCTACAAATCAACCTGGAACCCAAAAAAGGGTCCTTCTGTTAGCCTTGCTTCGGGGGGCCTGGTAGGAGATCTACAAAGATCCCAAAGGCGTCATGGAGGACTTGTCGGCTTTGGGCCTGCGCCACGTGGGCTACGGCATCCCCACGGAGCTCTTTGGGCCCTTCGTCTCCGCCGCCATCGAGGAGCGGATTTGGATCGGCGCGGGTTTGGGTGGCTCAGAGGCGAGTCCAAGGGACGGCCTGTCTGATTCCATAAACAGTTGGATCATGGGATTTTAGGTTGTTGTTGTTGTTTGTTCCCGTTTTCTGTTCAGTTACGTTCTTTGTGTCTTTGTTGATGCTTTGGGATCTTTTAGCTCTAAACAATGAAGTTGAATTCTTCGGGGGCCAAGTCCTTGCGAAGGTGGATGTTGCCCAGGAGCAATTCCATTCCGACAGTTCCGGCACGACAGCCCAGCGTGCCCTCTAAATGCAATACTTCTGCAAGGCCAAGAAGATCCCCTTCAGAAGGATGAAGTGTCAGGGACGGTTCGCCTTACGATGGATAGGTGGTTAGCTTGGCCTTGTAGCATCATTTCCCTTGCATCCTCAATGCTCCACTAGAATGGGCACAACCCCAAACAGCTCCCTTCTACCCTTCGGGCCGTTGGTCGCTGGGAGGACTTCTCAGCTTCTCGCTTGGTGCTTTCCTGGGTGTGGTTTCCCATTTGCCCTGCAACTGAGGGCAGTAGACCTTGCAAGTCTGGGTATGGTAGCAAAAAACGAAAGTGTTGCACTACTAAAAATGAGCAGAACCTGAAAGCTTCACAAAAACCGTGAAGTAGCCCAACTCAAAGAGCTTCATCTCTCTGATCCGCTCAGAACATCCGGATGCTCACCTCGGACGGGAACCAAGAGGAGGCCTTCAGATGGTCCATCGGCCTCATCTCCCGGGTCTTGGTGCGCACCATCACAGAGGCGCGGATCCCCACGAACGGAAAAGCTGCCGTCGCGCGCGAAGTCCTTAAGGCTATGTTTTTGTTGTGCCCCTGTCGAACGGATTTCTTCCAAAAACCGTATGCTTGATTTTCTCCTGTCGGTGTTAACGAGAGTTCATCACTACTGGACATATTTCTAGTTTTTTCAGGAGGCATACAGTATGGCACATTGCAGTTTTCGAATGGCCAAAGCTCACGAGTCATGGGTTGCACGCCAAATTTTAGGTACTGTATGTGTCTTGGCGGCCCAAGAAACGGGAAATGTTGCATTGGTTTCCCATTGCAACCATCCAGACAAGGGTTCGCCCCTAGGACCACTTTGAAGCCATCCGACATGTTGGGGGTTTTTAGGTCACGCCACGTAAAGGGGTCGTTCATCGCAAGGATCGGAGCTGTGTGCGTGTACTGGCTGGTTCGATACGGAGGGTTGCTTGGAACAACACCCCGCGCTGAACCACCCCTAGGTTTCCTTTAAATCAAGGGCTTGCAGGGATGCATATGTGCCTCCAAATGCCTCCAACATATGCTTGTAAGGCAGCACGCATCCCCTTTTGCAAGTGGTTTATATAGCCTCCATAATATTTTCTTCTAAAGCTAAATGCGCCCCGCCAAATAACTATATTGCCTGGAGGCCAAAATGTATTGATAGGGTCAAATTCTGCCCCTGAAACGTTCCGCCGCGGTCCTCGTCCAAGTGGGGTCCTTACAAAATTGGCGCCGCCGAGCGCCCGAGAGCGGGTGCTCAACGGCATTTCTCATTCCCTGCTGAGGACCAAGTTTTTGGGGATTTGGGGTTTTGCGGTTTGGGGTTTTGGGAGCAATTCCATTTCTGATTCCAAGTTTTTGGCTTGGTTCTGCCCACCCAAAACATGTTTAAGGTAAGCTTTGTTTCGGGCAGTCAGCCCGGCTGACCTTTTTCAGTCTGTGCAGAAGAAAAGCCCAGTCCGATGTGTTGAGTTTAATTCGCAGATGGTCTCAATTGCCCCTTTTAGTTTCCCCCTTTGTTGGTCGATGTTAAGTGGCGGCCTGGTGATCACCTTTTTCTGGGTCGCTTGGGTAACTGAGTTAAGCCCACATGCGACTTTTCTGGGTTTTCATTTGGTTAAGCTCGAGACTGTTTTTTGCCCTGCTGAAAGCTTTGGGGTCTTTTGCCAGATCGACCGGGCTCCGGCGTTGGCCGTAGATGGTTCCTTCACATACCTGGGTAGTACGGCCATTTTTAACCGCAACCATTTCCGGAAAAAAGTTTGGGGTTTGGCTGACCTCATTATTTAACAAGCAAGGCCACTCAAGTGGTAAAGGCGAACAACCCCAGCTGACTTTGATCACCTCGCACGGACGGAAGGGCTCCACCCTGGTCATGCGCGCCATCAACGCCAACTGCGGGAAGATGCTTCGGAAGGCGGGGGTCCGCGAGGTGGCGCGGGGCCGACACCCAGGGCGCTTCCTCTTTCCTTTGGTGCATTTTGCTCGCATGTTAGAACTTCAACTTTTGTTAACGAAGGGGTTTTGCGTATTACACCACTAAAAGCTAAACTTTCGGCAGGGGCAGAAAGCAACCGAGTTCTTTGTCCGACTTGTTTGTGGAGGGAAAAGAAAGCGACGCATTCCTGGGGGATCCACAAAGGGGTTCCACAAAGGGGTTCCAACTTGTTTTTGGAGGAGAAAGGGTTGGACCTGTTTTTCCAAGCACCTTACCCCAAAGAACAGCAACAGTGACGCAAAAACAGCAACCTGGCTGGGCACCCCTTTTAGAGTTCAAGAGGCGAACCATTACTGGGCGAATCCACCAAAAACGGTTCCAGTTGTGGGCTATTTTAGGCCCATGAGTCCCCTTATTATTCAGCTACCCCCAAAAAGGGCGCCCTTTTTTCTCGCCACTGAGGTCAGGGGTTTTCTCTCGCCACTGGGGTCAGGGGTTTTCGCGTTCGGAATGCGCGCCAGCTCAGGAACTTGTAAGAGGGGGGCACCGCATGGACAGATGTGGACAGTTATAGCGTACTTGGTTCAGTGACCCCAAAACATTCAGTTTGCTTTTCGGCACCCTTTAATCCAGAGTGAAAAGGTCACCCAAAGAAGCAAAACCACACACACACACGGCCTTGCAACCAAAAAACGAGCTTGGACCTTGGTTTTCAATTTTTGGTCTACCCTCCCTCCAACGAACATGGCACCTGACAGAGGTCCCTTGAAGAGGAAATTGATCTTCCAGGTACCTCCCACAAAGGCTAGTGGGAGGATCAAGGTCCCAAATTGTGATCGATCACCTTCCATTTTCAGGTTATTTGGACATTTGAGGGGGATCCAAGCTCCCCCTTTTATTGAGTGCATGCATCTCTTTTTGGGCTTCCGCTCATTGCAGCGGGCCAGAAATATGGCCCCTTCCCGGTAAACACCGCCTTCTGATCTTATTTTGGTGTTTCCTTGAAGGGGGAAAGGTGATGTTTAACGGTGACATGGTAGGCGACCAAGCCAAGACTCCCGCGGGAGCAGGGACTCTTGATTACTTGGACGGACCCTTTTCAGTGGGGCTTCCGTTTGCCCTTCCCCCCACTAGGAGAACTAATAAATGTCCATTGTGAGAGGGACGGCAGCACAAGGGGCACATCATTGCTAATCATTGACTCCTAGTGACATGTTTTGTTGTTTTTCAGCATCCACGACTCCATTCTATGGATTTTGGCATGATGCTGCAGATGGACAAAATGCTGCACCAATTGAGACGATGAACTATATGGGAAGTGGCGAAACCCATTTACCAACTGGTGTGAGACTTTGTCCTTATGAGGTTTGTTCCG